TAGCAAGGTGTTAGTGGATCCATCGTCGATTTGCGGTAACGTAATGCCCATCAAACGAGGAAGGGAGGATGGGAGGAGGGGAGGGGGACAGTGTACGATACGCGGGATGAATTTGAATTGCAGATACATAGCAGTGACCCAGCCGATAAAATACGCCAAGCACAAGAACAATAGAAGAGTGTGGTTGACGATACTGTTGGTCTGGGCGATATCTGCCGCGATCGGCAGCCCGATTGTTCTCGGCTTGAATAACACCCCCGACCGGACACCGGACCAATGCCTCTTCTACAATACAGACTTTATCATATACTCGAGCCTATCCAGCTTCTACATACCTTGCATCATCATGGTGTTTCTCTACTACAACATATTCAAGGTAAGAATCCTCCTTCTCGCCTGTTTCGAATGCAGAAAGAGATTGAGAGAGAATTTGTTTCTTCGGGACGGAATAGAGAAGAGGTTCTCGATTCCGTTTTCAATCTTTTAATGAATTTTTTTTATAGCGTTTACATTTAAAAATTAAGAAGTCAAGAGTTTTTCTTACAATTTTTCTTAAGTCGTGTGTGGAGGAAAGGGGATATCGAGAAAAAGGAATCATCGATACCTAGTGTTAATAATTTTTCTTTTATAGCGTTGACATTTAAAAATTAACGATTAAGAATAAATTTTTCTTACAATTTTTCTTAAGGCGTACGTGGAGGAAAGAAGATATCGAGAAGAAAAGAGAAGAAATGAATCATCGATACTGTTAATAACTTTTCTTTTATAGCATTGGCATTTAAAATTAATGGTTAAGAATAAATTTTTCTTTCAATTTTTCTTAAGTGGAGAAAAGGAGGTATCGAGAAAAGAGAAAAAACAATTATCGATATTCAGTTAATAACTTCTTTTATATAATATTTACATTTAAATATTAACGGTTAAGAATAAATTTTTCTTACAATTTTTCTTAAGTCGTGCGTGGAGGAAAGGAGGTATCGAGAAAAGAGAAGGAACGAATCATCGATATCGAGCTAATAACTTTTCTTTTATAGCGTTGACATTTAAAAATTAACGGTTAAGAATAAATTTTTCTTACAATTTTTCTTAAATAGTGGATGGAGGAAAGGGGATATCGAGAAAAGAGAAGGAACGAATCATCGAGTGGGTAAATGAATCGGAAAAATAAGTAAATACGAGAAACGATGGATGGAGAAATAAGTGAATGTGATTTATGAAGGGGGATATAAATGAAGATATTGATCGGTTTATTTGCTCGATTAACCGTGACTTATAATTTCATCGTAGCAAGTAAAATTCGACCGAATTACGTAGATATAATTTTAACGCCATATGGAGCAAAGTGTTCCACAGATATGCTGGCTTTTGCGATTACGTTGCGGTTAATCATAAATACGGTTGCTTCGCTATTCTACATTGGCCGGAATACATAAACAATTTTGTTTGCATGGTTGCTTTCATTCGTTATGATATTAATTTCCGATGACGCGAAATATCGCTATAATAATTACGTGAAACGGAGTTCAAATAGGGAGGGTATTAACAATCGTTGCGCCCGTTTGCCCGTACAGATTGAAAAGATATGAAATTACCCAGATTTTGTATCTTCGTTTATAAAGACGTATATATTTATTAGGCCCGATTCAAAACCTCGATTCGATTATATTATGTTTATTTTGATCGTTTTCCATAAATATCGTGCGAAGGTATCTTCTGTCGACAATAATAGATTCGTAATATCCGACTAATAATACTCGAATAATGTATCATATCGTCTCTCCGTAAGAGACAATTTTTATTCGTTTAAAATTGATCGAAAAATTTTCCAAGAAAAAATTATATTATTCATTTAATTCTAGAAAAAAGAAAACAAAGAAAAAAATATCTCGATTTCTCTCGAGACGATCATTTCACAATTTGCCATTTCCAGGCGCTGCGAAACAGAGCGAGGAAAGCGAGGGCCAATAGGAAGCCTAATTTGGGCGACATTAAGCCGGGCAGCATAATAGAGAACATAGCGCACACTCGCAGGTGAGCCGACATTTTATACACTTTGTTAATTCTTTAAAAATTCTTTAAAAACAGATTACCAAAAATTTTTTAAGAAATTTTTCATTCGAATCGACGCCAAGGTTGAGGAAGAAAGTGAACGTAGATTAGAAATTAGTTAGAAGGAAAAGCATAGCTAATATATAATGCGAGATGAATTTTCACGTTCGATTAATGTAATAATAGAAATAGAGATAAAAAGTAATTAATTTGTTGAAATTTTTTGATTTCGTTCGAAGAGAATGGAGGAATCAAAGCTGATATAATGCCGGGGGAACGGCATGTTTGTATTTATCACTTGCATGTGTCACTCTGTTGCATGTCTGTATAGAGATAAGCATCGTGATTGTTAGTAGCGTGATTCCGTAATATAATTCATGCTTCCACTACGCAAACACTTCCTTATCAATCGAAAGTTTCAATAATGAACACAAACGACCTTTGTCCATTCATTTCAATCGAATTCTCAGATCGTAAAGAATTTGCACAACGAATATCATTATTATTATTCAAATAAAATTCAAATTTATCGAACAAGGATCTTAAAGATAATTAAAATGTATTATAAAGAAGTAAAATTTATAATATGTCTATCCTTCTCTGAAGAAGGCAAAAATCGACAAAGGTCGTATTTCCAATTCGTTAAATGTCTCCTTCAGAACAGAAAGAAATTCTGCCCTTCGAAAGACGAGAGGGGAGGGGAGGGGAACATCGATCGAACATCCCCGATATCTCTTTATTATGCTCGACGAACGACAAAACGTACGTCTACATCGTCAACATCTCGATAGATGTACACAGTTCAGTTTCTCTGATCAGAGATCACTCAGGTTTCTCGTACTCAGATGAATCGATATCCAATCTCTCCAAACGCGATTTCTCGCTTCTCACAGATCAAAGAGGAGCTGGCTGTTTAAACATAGGATGAATATAAATTCATTGGGGAGAGAGGGGAGGGGGGATTCGCGGACAAAGACGAACCGCCCTTCATTCCGAATGTGTCGCGTGCTCCTTCATCGAGTCATTTTTTTCAATTTTCTCTCGCGCGCCTCTCGCATTCCAACGAGACGATTTCGAAAAGAGATTGACGCCTTCCCCCCTTCCAAGAATACCGCTGAAAGAGGAGAGTGGGGAGGAGAAGAGAAGAGAGAGCGAGAAAGGAATATAGAAAAATAAGAAGAGGATGGAGGAGAGAAGAAAGGAGAACGTGAGAAGATATTCAAGCCTGGAGCACCTCTCCCCTATATAATATCTTCATTTCCGTTTGTGTCGGTGTACTTGTCTTGAATAGCCAACAACTTTTCTTTAATTGCCGGCTTTTGTGCCCTCCAACCCCCTCCCTCGAGTGTCGCCCATCCGTTGATCGATGATAAGAATAAATCGATGCAGAAGGAAGAACCGATTTCTCGTCCCCGGATTGAAAGGCGCGCAGTCTCGTTGTTTGTCGGTTTCAAGATGATTTGATACCACTGCTACCAACTTCTTCTTTCTCTTTCTCTCCTTCCTCCCCCGGAAGAGAGAGAAAGAGAGAGAGATAACTCTCGGAAGGTGAGATTTCATCTCGGCGGCGAAAGGTTTGGGGATTCGATCGCTTTCGATCTCTCTACTCCTCCTCCTCGCTTCGATCTTTTACACTTTTTCACGTTTCTTCGATGATATTATTAATATTATTATTATTATTATTATTATTATTATTATTATTGTTATTATTATGGATGGCTAGACGTCGATTGCTCGCGTCAGGGCGGAACGTTGGTATGAAAAGGATTTTGAAGTGGATCGTTTCGAATCGATTGGATTGGAAAAGAGAGAGAGATTCGAGCGTTGCACGTGGCGAAGGGATAGGGGTGTGCGTGCGTGCGTGCGTGAGTGCGTGTGTACGGCTAGAAATGCAATTAGGCGCGCGGGTAATTTGTATAGTATTAACTGTACCCTTTCGCTCGCCCTGATTATTATTTATAGGTCACTTCCTACGGTTACGCGTTACGAGCATTATCGATAAATTAGACTTAGATGTTCATGGGAACGGTCACATTTTGGCTGCAACGCTCGTCTTTTCCCTTGGGTCCCGTGTATTTAACATAATCTCGGCCCTGCGTCCAAAATTTCCGTGAAATTCAAGCCTCTTCTTCAAGCTTCCGCTCTCTTATTCATACGCGTGAAATCCGCATCGATGTTATCGGTGTTCCTTTGAACCTTTGGTGTAAACAGGGAGAATACAATTTTTTTACGGTTCGAAACGCTTCGTTTTGTTTTTTTTTTTTTTTTTTCTGAGAAAATCGAATTTGAAATTAATTGGAAGTCGTAAACGTGCACTTTACGGAAAACGTTTTACAATAATTATCTGGAAATTTTAGAACGAAAGAATTTTATCCGTTTTCTGTATCAAATTCATCTCTGTACGTAGAATCTTCCTGACCTGACCTGACCTGACCCGAGATAACTCGTATGACGCTGATACTGCAATCTACGCACATTCAATCACATCGATTTATCTGTATTTCAGATTGTTGTTAAAATGTCGATTGTATTTAAGATTAATTAAAGGATATTAACGGAGATTTTTCAATTCTTTTCATAGGGGTGGAGAAATTTCAGAATCGTTAATTACTTTCGAGAGATCGAAAGTAATGATCGAAATCGTAATCGGTCACCAAAAGCGAAAGTGAAATGACCGAGTAAATGACGCAAAGTTTGAGGAACTATCGTTTAGATTGAACTCTGAATACTAAGTCATTTGCCGATTGCCAACCTGTAACGTAATCGGATCCCCGATAATCCGATTATTCGGAATAGACCGGTTTCCAATGTCCATATTATTCACGCACAAAATTACTCAACCCTACCCTTCGATCATCGACTAATACCGATTAATTAAAAAGACACTCTCGATGATCAATTTTCAAAAACTATAATCGAGGCGGTGAACAAAAAATCGAATCTCATCCCTCTTTTTCGATATATTATATTAACTCTTCGAATTAATCGATCGAAACTGGACATTTCGTTTGAAATGTCAAAGGTTACATTATTCGGAATATACGATCACTCGTAAACGTTCAAATAATTCACGCACAAATAATCTGGAAAAAATACCGATAAATCTAAAAAAATTTACCCTTATTATCACAAAATGATAAAAAAAAGAAACGATAAAAATATCCTATTCAAAAGTAAGTCTAAATTGCTCTTTTTCGATATAATTGGCCTCCATTCGATGGAAAGCGAGCCAATTGAAATATCAAATGTTCCGAGAGCAGCTCTTTTCTACCTTTTCTTTTTTTTCCCCTCTCACTTTTCTTTCCCCTCCCTTCTTCTCGGAGAAGAATTACTTTCATTTCAGCGAGGGCACCCGAGGATCACTCTGAATCGCGAAGGATACATTCAACGAAGTAAAAGCCCAAGTTCTTTGTTCGTGGCAAAGTTCGGAACGAGAGTAGGCGCGAGCCTAGGCGCAAGCGTGCCACCACGCCTCGCTTTGTGCATGATAGATTAACTTTTCCCCTTTTGCCGGATTAGCGCGCCGCCAAGGAAATACTAAAAGCATGCTAAGTGTAGAAGCTTTTTTTTAGAGGCTTTTGACTAAGATCACGTAGTGGGTATTCTGTGGCAAGGTTTGCGGAGACGGCGCTGGGGGCGGCGGCTCTCGTGGCTCCCGGCATGGAAGAGCCGACCAACACCGCTTCCGGTAGCAACGAGGACGAGGACGAGACACCCCTTGATCCTGTTGTGGTCATCTCGAACGATAAGAGCACCGAGTTCTTTCTGGCCACTGTCGTCGAGGAAGCAGCGTAAGAATTCAATCAAATTTACCCCTAGACTCTGGATTCTCACGTGGATATAGATTCAATTAATATCGTAAAAAATTATATCTTTATACGTCACAATGGTAGATCATTCGGGAAAAGAACAAATAGAATTAAAAATTTTTATGTGAAAATCTATTCGAGAAAATCGTGCCATTGAAAACGCTTTTTCATCCATTCCGATATCTCGATCGGTTACCGAGATGCGAGGATTTAAAGTTTTCGTAGTATTTAAGATGGTGGGAAGATTACGAATGGCTCGCGTCTTATATTTCGTCTTGGAAATGTACACTGTTTCCAGGAATCGCGTCTGGAGTTTGAGATAAGTCAGCGAGAGAAGGCGCGAGTGAGAGATCCGAGTAAACGATAAGGAGGAAGATAGTAAACGATTAAAAATTAGGTTTTTCTTTACACGACGATATCTCGGGAACGGGAAGTTGTATCGAGATGAATAAAAAAACATTTTAAAGGGTAAGATTCCACGCTTCTAATGATCGTTCACTCGTTGATCGGAAGTTAGTATCTTCAGAGTTACAGCGGTTTAAAGTTTTCCGAATTTTAATAAGATATAATCGGGTTTAAAATAAATAGTTGAAAATTAGTTTTTCAATTACACGACGATATCTCGGGAACGGGAAGTTGTATCGAGATGAATAAAAAAACATTTTAAAGGATAAGATTCAGCGCTTCTAACGATCGTTGACTCGTTAACCGGAAGTTAATATCTTCGGAGTTATAACGTTTCAAAGTTTTCCTAATTTTAATAGGAAATTTAATCAAAGGAGATTAAGCTATATAAATTTATTATTGGATATCGCTTAGAATGATTTTACTAATGACTTTCGCAAAATTCTTTGCTTAAATTGATAATCTTTATTTAATTATATTCGGGTTTATAATTATATCGATTAATCAAGCGAATTTTATAGATTATATAATTTTTGGACACTTGTAGTTGCGCACTCTATATTTATATAAAAAAGATATAATATGAGGAATATATATTTGCCTGAAAATCCAGCAGTCTATTTATCTCTCCATTCCTTTCTCTCTCTCTCTTTCTCTTTTTATATAAATCCTTCGTACCTAATTTCCTCTTCCTCACCCGAGAATTTCTAATTAATGAATTTCACCGCGTGATAAGTCCAAGCAAAAACGTATAACAAGGGTTAGAACGAAGTTAAAAATGTTCTTGGCAGAGGGTAAAAAGAACGGGTCGATGTGGATCCGTTTTTCTGGACGAATGAAGAGAATGGCGAGACGTGGAGGCGTTGAAACTTTGCCGGGCAAATTAACGAGAGTGAAAAAAAGAAAAAAAAAAAAGAAAAAAAATAATAATGGACAAGGACAAAGGGGTGGATGGAATCAATTAGCATTGAAAACGGGAGGCGTAACATTGGAGAAAAAAAAGGGAAGGGAAAATACTATTTTTCCGTTCATCAGGAGGAAATGAATTTTCGGTTAGAAGTTTGGACGGAGCGGAGTTGAGTCGATCTAAAGTTCCATCTTAATTGGTTAGATCTGCGAATTAAGATAGCATCGGTTCTTATTTGCCGGTGTTTTATGTCGAAACGCCGTTCTTCCTTTCAAAATTCCTCGGGTCACCGACTAATTGCCCCTTTATCTTCCATTGAACGAGATAGGGAGATCTCGGCAGGGAGGACGTTAAACTTACGAAACGAGAGATGGAAAATTGGAATCATATATTTGCCTGCGTAAAATTGGACGAAAGGAAGGGTTGAACTTTTTTTTTTTTCTTTTTTTCTATATATATATATATATATATTGGCCACGGAGTCGATAATTCATTGGCGTAAAGAATTACTGCGCCGACACATTCGATAAAAATAGGAAGAAAACACCGATAAACTCGGTCCACTGTGAAATCGATTCGTTTGTTTGTGGAACGTCCACTGGTCCAGCAAGTTGGAGTAGTAACCAGTATTGATTGAACGCGGAAGACACGTCGCCTCGATCGATAGCTTAACGATAACAAAACGCAAGTGAGTAAAAAGGAAAAAGCTTGGGATAGTATATAGTTCCCCGTACACAATGAAAATGGGTAACGAATGGGAAGAAGGGATTGTAAATGATTCGATTTCTTTGGTTGGCTGCGTTACGGACGAGATACCAATATGGCCGCGTGTCTATTGCTATTTTTGATTAATTCTTATATTTCAATTTTTTCAAAGTGTAAATTAACGTCAAATTAATCAATGATATACGTAATTTATATTATAATTAATGTTTATCCATTCGTATCCAATAACGTACACTTTGACTTGAATTGAAAAATTTGAAAGAAAATAGAGTTCTAAAGCAACAAACGAATACCTAATTAACTTTATCACGAAACACAGAATCATCGTAGATCTCTTTCTTAATAATTCCACGATCAAAATACATTCCATAAAATGTAATCAATCGTTACGCATTCTATTCTTCGAATAAATCGACGAGAAAAGAGTAGCGTTACACGGATGCCCAATGATAACCCAATGTAACGCGATGATAATAGCCGATATACATACCGGCTAATCGTACGATCGATACGCACGGTATCGTGGGAATGGTGGTGGTCCACGCAGCGAGATGTCTTTGAGACTAATCGCCGAGAGCGTTTCCATCGACGGTGCAAGCAAGTTTAATTACATGGACGGGTTTGTTGTTTGGCCGTACATGGCCAATGGATGGTACGTTAATGCACGCGGCGGTAGCTCATTGTTCGATCGGTTTCGAATGAAACGCCGCGCGTGTGTCGTTTCGTTACGAGAAGTAATTTCACGCGAACCTACAGTTACACGATCAGACTCGCCTCGAAGCAGTACCTGTAGGGCGGGCGATGGAACCGGATAGAAACAACTCTGGCTACACAACTATGCTTTACACTCGGAGTCGTTCTTACTCACTCGAGCGGTCAAACCAATATTAAATTTCGATTTCACTACAAGTTTCTGTTTCAATTTTCGTTATCCAATTTATACTCGGATCTCGATCGATCCGAATACATCGAACGGTAAGAGCTCCCTCACGGTCGTACACAAAGCAGAAATTCGAAATACTAAATTCGAGTACGCCAAACAATCTCCATCACGATGCAAGTAATGGAGGCAAACTTGCTTCCCTCGAGGCAAGTTTCATTGTGCAGTAGAGTATTCTACTATTCCTCCACAGAAGATGGCAAGAAAAGTATAATAATATAAAATATACTATTGTACATCCTTCCTTCGCTTCCCATCTTTCCAATAGCGTATCCCCATAATATTAATATTAATTGTCAACAAAATATATATAGTAGTTTACAAAAATCCTATTACTACATCTTTTCATGGACTTGCCATGTAGTGCTTAACGATACGAGAGATACTCTCCAGATCCAGAGTAAATACGAATATGGACGAGATGTCGACGCTACCGATACTCGAATTGCAGTTGTCGTTTCAGCGCAGTGGCTCAAGCACAACTGGGTGGAGAACGGCAGAACGGAAGAAAGGATCCTGGATACGACGGTGCGGCGAGCACCGCGGTGATACACGAACCGGTGGTGGAGACGAACTCGAGCCCGAGCCCGAACCCGCGGATCGCTTCGGCCCCGTCGTCCTCGACTTCGTCCTCGCCGCCTGCCAAGGGCGCGGCCGCGACCGGCCAAGCCTCGCAGACGAAGAGGAACGGCGGCGAAACGAACAAGCAGGAATTGAAGAGGCTGAAGAGCGCCGTCTCCCTTCTCCCTCTTCCGCTCGCGCGCACGCCGAGCGTGATGTCCGCCTCGTCCACCTGCAAGAAGGACAAGAAAAATGCCGGCTCCGGATCGCGTTTCACCATATACAAGGCGAACAAGGCGAGCAAGAAGAAACGGGAGAAAAGCTCGGCGAAGAAGGAGCGCAAGGCCACGAAAACGTTGGCCATTGTTCTCGGTATGTCCGATTTTGGAGGGAGTTTTGGTGGGAAAACGAGTTTACTCGAGTTGAAGAATAAAGAATAAATTGTTATTCGATTTTTTTTAATTTATTTATCTACTTATTTTTATAACAGTTCGTTAATACTTAATTCAATTAATACTTAATTCTACAGATGAATCTATCAGTGCAGTGACTTCTTTATGGATTTTCATGATTTTCTTTCTTTCAGTTGCAAAAATCGGTCGACATATTTCGAGATATTATGAAACTTCGTGAGGATGTCACGCATAGATAAATTGTCATCTTCGATTTCTTTTTTTTTGTTTGTTTTTTTATATACAGAAGAAATTTGTTTCACGTTTACAGGTGTATTTCTGATCTGTTGGCTGCCGTTCTTCACGTGCAACATCATGGACGCGATTTGCACGAAGCTGACTGCCGACTGTCAACCAGGCGTCACCGCATTCATAGTGACCTCTTGGCTAGGGTACATGAACAGCTTCGTAAATCCCGTGATTTACACTGTGTTCAATCCGGAATTTCGCAAAGCCTTTCATAAACTTGTCAGCTTCTAGGCGTATCTCGATTTCGTTTTATCAAGTCACGTTTTATCTTGAGTGATATGGAGGAACAACAACGAGACAATTGGACAATCGAACAGCTCAACATTTGTTCCGGCTGAAGGTATATATGTATATATATATATATATATCTTTTCGTAGTCGTGCCCTTCGATTCTTTTTGGACAATATGAGCCCGAGTTCGTTTTCTCCTGATTGTAATAAAAAAAAAAAAAAAAATAGCGAAATTAAAACAAAAAAAAAAGATTAAAACGCGATGAATCGATCGTGTGCGAAATTGAGCCAGAACCGAATCGAAGCTTTTTATGAAGGATAGAATTACATCGTCGTGCACTTTTTACTTGTCCTTTTGTCGAAAGATCATCGTTAATATTCCTCTCACCAGCACTTTATCATCGTCCACCATCCTCGCCGCGAGATCATTTCGTTCGATATCGATACCGGAGGCGATGTGCATCGATGTTAGAGCTGAATTACCAAATAAATATTTAAGCTAACGATAAGCATAGATATATCGGAGGTTTAAAAAAAAAAAAAAAAAGAAGGAACGAAGTCACGGTGTTTTAAAGCGCGATGTGTTGTTGACTGCGTCGAGAAATTTGCGTTTCCCTGCCATTTCGAGCGACTCTGGCTTCGTATAAATAACATAAATAAAGAACACGAGAGTTTAAAGAATAAAAGGAGCGATAAACATCAGGTTAAAGCGTAAAATCGATGGAAGGCGTGTTTGATGAGCAAATGATGTATATATATATTATTACGTATATATATATATATACCTTGTTGGATATTAAATTATACCGTGGCAGTATTATCGTAGCTCGTAAGGTATAGAGAAATTTCTTTTGGCTGAAAAAGCGGAGGAACGGAAGCACCAGTTCTACGGCATACTGTTACGCGTCTCTGTACACCTGCGCGTCGCGCAGTCTAATCCCACGCCTTTGTACTATGTACGATTTATCCGGTTGAAGCGCCGGATCTACCCCGTAATCGTTTCGTGATTCGAGATTCGTCGTTCCGTCGTTTTTCGCCCTTCTGAAACGAGATCGGAGGAGCAAGTTTCCGAACGAAACGAAAGTCTCGAGTGCAATTTTACCCGAATTTTATAAATCCGTCGAGGCAACGGTTGCGCATTACGATATCGTCGGGAACGTGTTTTTCGAATTCTAGAAAATTGATTCGCGCGAACGGGGAAAGGAATCGAGTCTGTCGAACGTGTCCATGATCGAATCCACGATGCCATTTCCTTCGAGGCTTCCCTCGCCGTTCTAGCGGTGCGGAACCCTCCCCCCTCGTCGTATTCTGACCTAAATCCCTTAAGAAATCATTTATTATCTATTTTTGTTAATATCGTAACGATAAGGCAGTCTAATTCTTAATATTTCCTTTTTCTTTTTTTCTTATTCAAAAGAATAATTATGAAATGTATACACATATATGCACATTTTCTTTAAAATTATCGCTTAGAATATTATTATTTATTATAGCATTAATTCTACTCTCAACTTTGAATAAATCATAATTTTCAAATATTCATAACAATTCGATCACCCACTGTATTCTTATACGAGTTTCGTAAATACTTATTTTCTGAACTCATGTACACTGCTCAAGTCTTCGACACTTTTCAATAGTCTATTAAAAAAAATTCGCAATTCCGGTGAAAACCACTTCGCCTCCCGAAGTGACGGAACGAGATTATTAGCTCTCTTCGATCTATCGATCATCCCCCCCCTACAATGCCATTCGTTCCAGATACTAATTAAGATTTATGTATTGTCTTTGGAACGTTGGTGAAACGAAAATCGATAGAGGGAAGGGAATCCGCCGGCACATTCTCCTTCTATCCCGCCTCCAAGAGGCCAGGAAGGGGTTCCTCCTCCAAAGATAAACATCGTGTACTTAGGTGACGCGTTCGACAGAATGGAAAATCGAGATAGACGCGTCAGAAGCACCTGTACCGGCTCCGTTTCACGTCCCATCTCCACCAACGTCTGCAAAGTTTCCGGCGTCCGAATTTTCAAACATATCAATACAAGCATGACAGGTAATATATACGCTGGTCGAACATATGCTGCACGAGATACGATCAGAAAGGAAACGTTTATCGAATTATTAATCTGAATTATTTATTATTATTCATGTTGGAACATCTGCGATTGAATATTATATTGCCATTACTTTCGAAAAGGAACAAGTTTTGTTATGTATTACGAACATTTAAATCCCTATTTTTGATCAGTTAAGCGTTTGTAAGTCCCATCAATTCTTGGAAATGGGATCTCAGGGAGCTTCGAACGAAACTTGAAACCAAACCAATCGTTTCGATACGTATGCGAAATGTACGTGCAAGGTAACACTCTCACCTCCTCTCCTCGTTTCACTCGAATCCCCAAAACTTCTCGCTTAATCTTCCGTATTTCAGCCGCGACTGGCGCTTAAAACGTGCAATTATCGTGTAATTATTATTCGATGAAGAAATAGCTTTACAGTTTATTATGATAAATTCTTTCCATTTCTGTTGAATATTATGATCGAAGAAATGGGATGATCGATGCGAAAAATGATTTCTTTTTGATCGCATTTCGTGAACGCGCAAGATGGACTACGCGAAAACGGAAAATACCGGAACACGCGTGTGTTAACGCAAAAGGAAACACGGTTGTTTCGCGTGCGTTTGAGTCGCGCGATTCTGCAATAACTACAATCAAAGCTTTTTACTCTTATCAGTTTCTGTGAATGCGTTGTATAACTTTAAAACCTTCCAATGTATATTTGTACATAATTAGTAGTAATATTAACGAATTGATCGAACTGCAATCGGTTTGTAAAGCGATACGTGCGAATAGAAGCGATCGCCTGCTAACAAGGAGTACGTAAGTGGATGGGAATCGTTTATGGGATGACATTACACGCATACGAATTCTAATATTCTACCTGAATATTATAAAATTAATGAAACGTTGATAAAAAAATTGTCAAAGTGGAACTTCGAGAATTTAAAATTCCGCACGATTCTTCCTCTCGTTTTGCAAAAATAGTGGAATAAACCAGTTAATAAAGGAGGCCAGTGAGCAAAACACCTTTTGCCAAATACTAAATTTTAACTAAATACAAATGCAAACTTGAACGTATCCAAAGTTACTTAAACCGCAATACGAGTTAAAGAAGCAGAGTCCATGCAAAGTTTCGGATCAAGATGTTTCGAATGAACATGATTCGCAACATGATTCCACAAAGAAACAACAACTTTCGCAAAGTTAGTTTCGAGCAGAAAGGGATTTTTCTCATTGCAATCAAGATTCATTTTCATTCCTTTCAAATCGAATCTTTAAGGCGCGATTTATTACATTCGATTCGCATCTTTTATTATTCCAGAAACGATGATCATCCATTCTCGTACGTATTCCTGGTAAGATCTAGATACACTGCAATTATTAAATACTAGGGACAAAGCTAGTACGCATGTAAGTGCTAGGCGAAATCTTTAGGGAAACTTTTTTCTCGATGAATTGTGATAAAGCTAGGTTTTGTTACGTACCTTTTACCCCGAATTATCCCATTTCAAGATTAAATTTCCCCGTAATAATTTATGATTATGAACTCGCACGAATCGTCGCCGATCTTCCATCCTTCTTTCTATCCTTTTTTCCCAATCTTTTTGTCAAAATCGATCGACAAGAATGAAATTTCCATCGAGGAGGGAACGCGATGGATTAACCATTTATCGCGTTTCGATTTGCATCGAATCTCTTAATTCACGCCTAACCCTTTAAACTGAAATCTCTTAAAGCCCCGTCAGTTGAATCCATTTCGTTACAATGGATCCTCGTGGTCAGAATCGACTAAATTTCTGTCCTTTAATAATGGCGCGACAAACTTTCCCTGCCAACATTTAAATTCGATTCGACAGATGGCGCTGCGGTGTCACTTTCACGGTGAGAGTAAAAGTTCTATAGTGTCTCTCTCGAAAATTAGTTTTCGCCAGAAGTAAACGCTAGATAGTATTAAGATTTATTAAGAGGTATTGATTTTTTAAAAAAAGCAATTTTTCGAAAAAATTTTACTCTCGAATATGTTGAAAATGCGTTTGAAAAACTTTAAAATTTTTTCTCGATGGATATTTTTCGCAAGTACAACATTGAGATAGAAACATTTATCCAATAATAATTTTAAAATAAAAGTGTCTAACGAAAAATAATTCTAGACAATTTTCCAGAGTTTTAAATGTATTCGTATCATTACGCAGAGATCACTTTTTCAAAGAATAAATTCAATATCAGGATTGGATTATTAATTGGATTATTAATTATTAAATTTCTTGTCCTTCGTTAAGGCGAAAAATCGGCGATTCCTCAATCCCACGAAATCATTTACCGATCTCCTTATTCTCTTACTTTCTTTCCTTTTCTTCTTCTTCTTCTTATTATTATTTTCTTTTGTTTTAACCGCGCGAGAAAATTCTCGAAACGACGACCAAAGCTTCTTTCTTTAAGCACCTTTACGCTCAACTATTGTATTCAAAACAAGAAGAACAATTAAGGCAAAGCGTATTTATCACGGCGAGCGAAGCTCAACAAACAGCCTAGCGGATTGTTTTAACGCAACGCACTTGATAAACGCATTATAAAAGTTTTCTTACAATCCTGCTAAGATCGCTCCGTATTTTTCTAACCCTTCCTTCTTCTGTACATAAACGTGTATGCACGATACACGATATGAGAGATATCTGTACTCTCCGACTTGCTTAGTCAAAGTGCCCTCCTACGTAGCATTTCTTCATTCTTCAGGAATATTTAAATTGTAAAAAAAATCTTTTACTTTCTTAATTATCAGAAAAAAATTTTTACCGATTCTCCAATCTCTTTTAAAAATTACTTTTAAAAAAATCAAGTTTAAAAGCACACGTGAATAGATATTTAAGAAATGAAGATATCATTGGAAAGGGGTTAATAATAAAATCTTAAATTTCTTTTTTTTTTTTTTTTGGATATTTCGAAATGCTGCGTGCGGGACATTTCAACTAAGGTAAACAGTATTGTAACGAGAGTATATGAGCATTGTACATCTGTGTAAATATACATCTATCTAATCGATATGAACGCGAAAAATATACGAATGATTGTGAATTTCGCGGAAATTCTCGGGAAAGGGGGCCGGTTTCTACCTCCTTGGAACGAGATAGAAGAAAGCAAAAAATATAAATAAGCGGAGTGGAACGTCTAATAAGTGTCCATGTTTGTTCGAGAATGTGTCACTTCGGCATGAGAGGATTACGTTTTTTCCTATGAATTTCTTAATCATTATTACGAATGGTCTATACAGGGCATAGATGTAAGAGATTGTGAAAAAAAAAAAAACTTTAATTTGACGATTAGACGTAAGCGAGACGAATCAAATGGAGGAAGAAGAAGAAAAAGAAGAAGAAGAAGAAGAAGAAAATGAAATGAATTATTCAAACAAAAAAAAAAAAACGCTGTATGTACCGATGGCAATACCGTATACATATTCACACGCGAGTGAAAAACACATGGGACACGTACACGAAGAATCAATCAGAGAAATCGAAAACACACGGACACTTGTCAAAATTAATAAAAATATAGTATAAATTAACTTTGTACCTTTAATCTCATAATTTTCAGATTTTCATCGAAAAAAAGGATAAAAAGGTAAGTCGTTCACTCAAGATCAATACAAGAACATTTGTTCGAAATTAATAAGATATGGTTATGATTTAACGTCTCGAATTCTTTTTTTTTTTTTTCTCTCGTTTCACAATTTTCATCGAAAAGAAATTTTCTGGAATTTCGCGAAAGATAAATTGTCGAGACGTTATATCGATTTTTTTTTTTTTTTTTTTTACCTTGAAACTCTAGGGAATACGTTT